AACGAAAGTGACATTATATGAATGGAAGGTAAAATTTTAATTGAAAATGACTTTTTTGAAGATGAAGAAATGAAGAAAATTAGCGAAAAAAAAATGGAAGTTGCGAACGAAAGCGACATTATATGAATCGAAGGTAAAATTTTTATATAAAATGACTTTTGTGAATATGAAGAAATTAGGGAATTGAAAAATGAAGAAAATTAGCGAAAAAAATGGAAATTGCAAACGAAAATGACATTATATGAATGGAAGGTGAAATTTTAATTTAAAATGACTTTTGTGAAGATGAAGAAATGAAGAAAATTAGCGAAAAAAATGGAAATTGCGAACGAAAGTGACATTATATGAATGGAAGGTGAAATGTTAATTGAAAATGACTTTTGTGAAGATGAAGAAATGAAGAAAATTAGCGAAAAAAAATGGAAGTTGCGAACGAAAGTGACATTATATGAATGGAAGGTAAAATTTTAATTGAAAATGACTTTTTTGAAGATGAAGAAATGAAGAAAATTAGCGAAAAAAAATGGAAATTGAAAACGAAAATGACATTATATGAATGGAAGGTGAAATTTTAATTTAAAAGGACTTTTGTGAAGATGAAGAAATTAGGGAATTTAAGAATGAAGAAAATTAGCGAAAAAAAAATGGAAATTGCAAACGAAAATGGCGTTATATGAATGGAAGGTGAAATTTTAATTTAAAATGACTTTTGTGAAGATGAAGAAATGAAGAAAATTAGCGAAAAAAATGGAAATTGCGAACGAAAGTGACATTATATGAATGGAAGGTGAAATGTTAATTGAAAATGACTTTTGTGAAGATGAAGAAATGAAGAAAATTAGCGAAAAAAAATGGAAGTTGCGAACGAAAGTGACATTATATGAATGGAAGGTAAAATTTTAATTGAAAATGACTTTTTTGAAGATGAAGAAATGAAGAAAATTAGCGAAAAAAAAATGGAAGTTGCGAACGAAAGCGACATTATATGAATCGAAGGTAAAATTTTTATATAAAATGACTTTTGTGAATATGAAGAAATTAGGGAATTGAAAAATGAAGAAAATTAGCGAAAAAAATGGAAATTGCAAACGAAAATGACATTATATGAATGAAAGGTAAAATTTTAATTGAAAATGACTTTTTTGAAGATGAAGAAATGAAGAAAATTAGCGAAAAAAAATGGAAATTGAAAACGAAAATGACATTATATGAATGGAAGGTGAAATTTTAATTTAAAAGGACTTTTGTGAAGATGAAGAAATTAGGGAATTTAAGAATGAAGAAAATTAGCGAAAAAAAAATGGAAATTGCAAACGAAAATGGCGTTATATGAATGGAAGGTGAAATTTTAATTTAAAATGACTTTTGTGAAGATGAAGAAATGAAGAAAATTAGCGAAAAAAATGGAAATTGCGAACGAAAGTGACATTATATGAATGGAAGGTGAAATGTTAATTGAAAATGACTTTTGTGAAGATGAAGAAATGAAGAAAATTAGCGAAAAAAAATGGAAGTTGCGAACGAAAGTGACATTATATGAATGGAAGGTAAAATTTTAATTGAAAATGACTTTTTTGAAGATGAAGAAATGAAGAAAATTAGCGAAAAAAAAATGGAAGTTGCGAACGAAAGCGACATTATATGAATCGAAGGTAAAATTTTTATATAAAATGACTTTTGTGAATATGAAGAAATTAGGGAATTGAAAAATGAAGAAAATTAGCGAAAAAAATGGAAATTGCAAACGAAAATGACATTATATGAATGGAAGGTGAAATTTTAATTTAAAATGACTTTTGTGAAGATGGAAGAAATTAGGGAATTTAAGTTTGAAGAAGAAAATGAACGAAAAAATTGCAAACGAAAAATGACATTCATACCATAAATGGATGGATGGGAGGATGGATGGATTAATGGACAAAGGAATGAAAGAACTGATATATAGACAAATGAATATTATGAACGAGTAAATGATGAGATGAACGGGAAAATGAATGAAAATAACTGACTGAACATAGTCATGAAATAATGGATGAATGAATGAATGCACAGTAAAATAAATGAACAGATAGAAAAATGAAAGGATGAAAGACGAAAACTTGTACAGTGACTCCTTGTCCCCCATCCCATAACATCATGCCTTCAATTGACACCCTAGTATTCTAACCATCAGCATTTTTTAAAAGTTTGGTCGGTTTTCCTGTGCAGTCAACCATCAAAACAGCCAAACCGTTCCATACATAATGAGAACTTCAATGAATGGTTACAATACAAGAGTTTTTTTAGACTGTGAATATTTATAATTATGTTGCGTAAAATAAATTTGTTGTTTATGAGCTAGTATACACGCTAGCATACCTCTTGGTATCTATAGACAGTGGTCTTGATCTTGGAGATAGCAGAGCTTCATCTGAGCTTAACCTAGACAAAATACAACATCATCAGTGTCAACTGGCTTTAAGATTTCCAATAGACCCTTTTCTGAAATAACGACGACTCATTAGCAAAATTTTCTGGTGTTTTGGTTAAGAGCTTCGTGTAGACTACAATTATCTTGCTGATTAATAAAATTGTTAAAATGATAAAAATATTGATTAATACACCTTTTCAGTTGCTCTTAGGCCTCGACAGCGTGTTAAATATTCTTTTGAATTTGTAGGAATGTGAGCAATGCAAACATTGATATGAATAGTCTCATTTGTCAAATTCAAAAGAATAATTAACTTGCTATCGAGGCCTAAGTGCAACTGAAAAGGTGTATT